CCTTCCTCTTTGACTGGAAGTGTGGCCCAGTTAATAATCCCCAGAGGCAGCCCTCAGTGGATAGGAGGTGAGAGCACATGGATAAATGCTCCACCTGCCATCTTTAGGGTGGACATACTCTAAAGTATGTTTGTGAGGGAGTCTATGCTCTTCTTGGGAGATCGAGAGAACTTATGGCATGCAGTGGCATCCTCCCTAGCTGACCCCTTATTTCCCTGCTCACCCCCATGCTTCTGCTCCCGCAAATCTCCTGTCTGAAAGCTCTTGTCTTAGGCTCTACTTACAAGAGAAACCAAACTAAGACAGATATGCCAGAGAGAATTAGGCTGACAGAGCCTTGGCCATCATTTTGTCATGGAAAGTGGTTGAGAGACAGACTCGGATTCAAATCTCAGCAATGCCTTCCTACAAGATGCACATATCTACACAAACTAACCTCTCTGGAGCAGGTAGCGATTAGGAAATGTCAAAGGTCCCCGTTAAAATGATCAGCATATGGAATCATTTTACGACTGGGATTCATGAGGACCCTTCCTACATGGAGGAACACATCTTTGGGCCTTCAAGGGCTAAAGGAACAGAAACTGTAAACTTGAGTCCAGCCACTGAGGGTACACACAGCAGCCCAGCCTTGCATAGCAACTTCAGTGCCCCCCTCACCCCTGCTCCCAGGGTCCCAGCCCCACAGGTGAGGAAACCCAAGGGCACTTGTGTCATCTGATTGCTCTTTTCCTCCATTTCCATCCTACTCTCAATCTTTCGTTTATTCTGGTAATGTTTACCCCATTGTTTAATTGGCCAAGGGGACTTTTTGCTTTAGATGGTAAGAGTTCATCTCCTTGGTAAAATCTAATGCAAGACCTTCACTGATGGAGTCAGCGGTGAACAAGCATAGCCTTGGGCATTCACCCATTTTTTGTCCTCACCTCACACCACAAAACCCAGCCTCCACAAAACCTCCGCTTAGCTCCACTGCTTCGGGCCACTCTGGAACCACCCCTTCTTTTCCAATGCAGCACCAGGACCCTCTGCCCTGGCATTGCCCTTCAAACTGCCCTCCCACCTGTGAGCCCAGCCCACAGGTGAGGCCTGGACAGACACAGCCTGGATGTTCATTGCAGGAGTGAGTGATATACAGTGTGGTGGGACAAGAGACCCACTACAGTGTAGTCTGGAAAATAAATAAGAAAAAACCAGGCCAGGGACTGCAGCTTTTTATTCCCCTGGGGCCACAGCATCCAATCAAGGTTGGGTACCCTCGAGAGTCATAAGACACAGAATCCTCAGACTGGATTGCCATCACTCAGTTTATCATAATCCTTACGTATGGCCATCCCTGGATACCCTAGAATTCCCCAGTACCCTGATACTTTTTTCCTCCAGATCTTTCCTTAAGAATCAGAGATGAAGGGGTTAACTTGAAATGTATAAATACAGACAAAATGCTCCCAGGTGGAGAGTCAGATATTACAAGTCCCCACTCACCCGGCTCCATTTCCTCCTCTCCCTCCTTCCCCATCCCTCAAGCACACAAGTACTCCAAGCCAGCAGAAACCCTCTGATGAGCCAAGCTTGGCTGCTGTTGTTTTGTTTTTCACTTATTAGCCCAGGTGAAAGCATCTCAGTGCCACCCAAGGGCTGTTGAGAACCCAGTAAAATACTGAGGTTATTTATCCCAAGGAAGAACTTATGTTCGGGTGTCTGTGACCTGCTGTCTCCTGGCTGGAAACAGCCTGAGGAGACAGGAGGGGGAGACTCAGTCTGGCCCTGGTCCTTACTCAACCCAGTCCATAGCCCCCATCCACTTGTGTGGCTGTAAGGCAAGAATAGCATGGGAGCAGAGCAACGGGCCTCTCCTTCTCTCCATCCTTGCACCCTCCCATTCCTGGCATGCCCTGGGCAACGTGGGCCCAGAGTGGGCTTTTCCAGACACTTCTCAACAGAAGAAGGGCAAGAGCCATAAACTGAGTGCCAACCATCTTTTCACTCCCCAACATGTTCACCTGCTCTCTCTCCCAGCCCCTTCTCCTTGCTGAGGTCAGTCGCACTCTACCAGGGACACACACTCGCTATAACAAACACACAACATGTATCACTGGGACACCAAATCCCCTCTCTGAGCACTGCTCCATTGCAAAGTTCTCTTCTCCCTCGGCCTCAATGCCCTGCCTCCAGCACTGGGTCCAGAACTAGGGCCTTCCTTCCCAGTAACATACCCTCACCTTCTTCCACTGCTTTCATCCTGGGAGGGAGAGGGCTCGGCAGCCCCTGCCCCACCCTCAGGCTGCTCTCTCCCCTTGGGGGTCCCTGTCATCCTCTGCACCACTGTGGGTGTCCTCCCTGCCAGCCTAAAGAGCACTGTCCCTGCTTGCCTGGCCACTTCCCTGTCTTTCTCTAACTCTGCCCCCACAGAGTGTAGAGGGGGTCATGGGGCTGGAGGACCCATAACAAGCTTCCGCCCTCTGCCGTGGCTATTCTAGAGCTGTGGGAACCTCCAGAGTCTCCCCTCTGGGGCCTGGCTTTCTCACCTGTAGAATCCTGTCCTGCTCTGCCTGTCTGCATCTTCCCACTACACCTTGATGCCCAAACCCCCCACCTTCCCAACCAAGGCCTTCAGCCTGAGCTTTATGCTCTTGCTGTACTGTTGTATTCTGATTCCCCACCTCAGACGCCTCATTCAGGACACTTCTGGTGGCACCTTAGCCCTGCACCTGTGGCCTGGACAAGTGCCAACCCTAGGGAGACCTCACTGTCCCCATTTCTGCAACAGAATTCCTAAAACCCTTGGAATTTCGTAAGTGATGAGAGTAATAAAGGTGTCTCAATATTCATAACAACCTCCTCGCAACTATACCTCAGTTTATGTTAATGAGGTAACTTTTGGAAAACACCTAAGGATGGGCTGGTTGCCAGGGAAACCAACCATATGATTGGAGGGTTGAAACTTTCAGTCCCACTCCCCTGACCTCTGTGGAGGGGAGAGGGGCTGGAGGTTGAATCAGTTGCCAAGTGTGCCTAATGAAGCCTCCATAAAACCCTAAAGGGCAGGGTTCAGAGAGCTTTTGGGTTGGGGAGAGTGGCAACAGACATGGAAGCTCCATACCTTTCCCCATACCATGCCGGATGGAACTCCCCCATCCGGCTGTTTCTGAGCGATAAGCTTTTATAATAAACTGGTAATCTAGCAAGAAAAATGTTCCTCCGAGTCCTGTGGGCCACTCCAGCAAACTAATCAAACCCAAGGAGGAGGCTGTTGGAATCTCCAAGCTATAGTCAGAGCACAGGTGACAACAGGGACTTGTGATTGGCTAGTGGGGTGAGGGCTGGTCTTGTAGAACTGAACCCTTGACCTATGGGATCTCATCCTATCTCCAGGTAGATGGTGTCAGAATTAAGTTGAATTGTGAGACATGCAGCTGGTGTTAGAGAACTGCTTGGTATGGGAGAAGAGCCCACACATTAGAATTAGGTACAAGGGGGGGTGCTTGGGTGGCTCAGTCAGTTAAGTGGCTGACTTAGGCTCAGGTCACAATCTCGCAGTTCATGAGTTCAAGCCCCATGTCGGGCTCCGTGCTGACAGCTCAGAGCCTGGAACGTGCTTCAGATTCTGTGTCTCCCTCTCTCTCTGCTCCTCTCCAACTCATGCTGTCTGTCTGTCTGTCTCTCTCTCTCTCTCTCTCAAAAAAAATAAATAAACATTAAAAAAAAAAAAGAATTAGGTACAAGGGCACCTGGGTGGCTCGATTGGTTAGGCGTCCGACTCTTGGTTTCAGCTCAGGTCATTATCTCACAGTTTCATGAATTTGAGCCCCAAGTTGGGCTCTGCACTGGCAGCTCAGAACCTGCTTGGGAGTCTCTCTCTTCCTCTCTCTCCCCCTCCCAAACTTACACTTTCTCTGTCTCTCTCAAAAAATAAATAAACAAACTAAAAAAAATAACGAAAAGCACAAAAATTTACACAGATTAAAAAAGAAAAAAAGAATTGGCTACAGAATTGTACCCCTACCCTACTCTTAGTCTTTTTCTTCTGTACCTACTAAGACACTATATAATTTATTTTTTAACATGTTTGTTGCTTATTGTACCCCTCCGCCACGAGAGTGTAAGCTCTGTAGGGAAATGATCCTTGTTTTGTTCACAGTCACCCCCTGAGTTCCTAGAACGGTGCCTGGTAGGGAGTGGTGCTTTGGCACTAAATTCATTGAATGAATGAATGAATGAATGAATACATTCTGCCTTATTTTAAACCCCTGTTTTCCTACCACAATGAAGGAACTTGAGGGAGGTTGGGTCTTTTTTATATTTATGTTCTCCAGGTTGTGTGGTCCAATGTACAAGGTAGGGATAAATAAAGCTTTTAATAGAATCAGTCTCAAGACAAAGACCCATGCCCAAGAGGTCCAGAGAGGGGGCGGTGGTGAGGGGCTTCGGTGAGGTGAAGGCTGGTGGGCAGGGTGGAAGCCTTGTCTCAGGCCCTCGCTTAGGCACCCCTTATGGATGGCAAGAGAGGAAGAGAGGCGTTCTCAGTGCCACTGTTCCTCCCCAACTCCGCTGAGCCTTGGACATGTACACAAAGTAGGATGGTGCCCATGAACATGACTCAGGACAATAAAAAGAACCTTTGCCAAGAGGAGACAACCTTAAGAAGAACTTCACACTGACTTCTCTCTTTTGTCTGAATTAGAAGTTCCCAACCTGGAATCGTATGCAAGATTTGGTGAGACCTCTTTCTTTGGGTCTCAAAGGCCTGTATGGCCCAGAAAACATTAAGAACCGCTAGCCTGGAGAATCCCGACGGGAGTTCCAGAATTCTCCCACTCCCTCCTGCCACTGCCGCTACTCCCACCAGCCTGCTCAGAGAATGGAGTAGAGCCTGCTGTGAACACTCACTGACCACCACCATGGGTCTGTGAACGCGCTCAGGCAGAAGTCAGGAGACAGGAGAGGCCTGTACTCAGCCTCATTCCCCTTGGCTCTGCCCTTACCAGGAGTTTCCAGGCTCGAGGATAAATTTGAGTTTATTTGGGGAAAAAAATGTTTAAAGCACAAGAGGCAGAGAGAAGAAGCCAGCATACATCAGGGGCCTGCTGCCAGAGGAGTCTCTGTTCCTTTCCCTTACGGTTCCTCCGAAGTGCCAGCCCCATGAACTCAGTCAGCTCCACAGCCCCACACTAAGAACCCACATGTTGGTCGAATCACAGCAGCTAAATCAACAACAGTCACGCAGATGAGAATACTGGGGGTCCTTCCTCGAGCCTGGCACAAACAAGCCCCCAGCTTTATTGTCTGGCAGAGCTTCAGACCTTCATGAGCCCCAGGCTCCTAGGCCCAGACCCCCTTAGCTCCATCAGAGACGAGAGGAGAAGCCGGCCACCGCGATGTTTTCGCCGGTGATGTAGCTGGCGTCTGGAGAGCACAGGAAGGACACAAGTCCTGCGCAGTCCTCAGGCTGCCCAATCCTGGACAGAAGGAGGACAGAACACATGTCAATGATCTCAGACTCTGGTTTTGCTGTTCTGGTGGGAGTGGACTCCAAGAGGGGACAGGGTGGACCTGGCAGGGCTACTTGCATCCTCCAGGGCTCTGCAGAAACCAGACTTCAGCTAAAGGAATGACCAGTGCCCAGGGAGGGGTCAGCTAGTGAGATAGACCAGCCCCTCTTCCCCAACTGTATCCAGATTACCGAGGTCCCAAACCCAACTTGCCTCTGAACTTTGTGATCTTCCTTGAAGTTGTTCCAGAAAACCTCATTCTTGTATGCCTGGGCAAAGAGAAAACATGAAAGAGTCAGTGCTAGCTAAAACAAGGAGATGAGCAGGGACCAAGGTGATCCCATAGCAGATTTGCCTTTCTCAGGGGAGAGGGACTGAGTCATGGCTGAATTCAGAGGACAGCAAGGACCTCAGCTGTTAAGGATGCTGATCTGAAGCTCCAGTCACTCCTTCATCACTTAGTCATTGGGGAGGTTTCGCCAAGCCAGGCTGAGAAATGGAGGACATGCCCCAGTCCTCACCACTTTGCTGAAGTCAGTCTTGATTATTCCTGGAACCAGGCAGTTCACCCGGATGCCCTTGGGGGCCAGCTCCAATGACAGTGTCCTGGTGAGGCCCAGCAGGGCCGTCTTACTGATGTTGTAGGGACCCAGCTCCTGAGAAGGGAATCAAGACAGTGATTAGGATATTGGGAAGCAGGGGCACCTGGGCGGCTCAGTCGGTTAAGTGTCCGACTCTTGGCTTCGGCTCAGGTCATGATCTCATGGTTCATGGGTTTGAGCCCCACATCAGGGCCTGTGCTGACAGTGCAGAACCTGCTTGGGATTCTCTCTCTCTTCCCTCCCACACTGTCTCTCTCAAAATGAATAAATAAACTTTAAAAAAAAATTTTTTTTTTTAAGGATATAGGGAAGCAGAGGAACACATCAGTTGGATTTCTCTCCTACAGATGATCCCACCCTGGCCCAAGCACAGAACTCAGACACACTCTCCCCAGCCTGGTCTGAGAACAGAAGTTGGATCTGAGGGACCCAGCAGCCACATGGGCATCAGCTCAGCCTAGGGCAGCAGGAGTAAAGTGTGGGTCTATCCCAAACGTTGTCCCTGTGGTGTTGTGGGGACCCCTTCCCCTAATCCTACCAGGAGCACATAAGCAACAACTCACCACATGTGGTACATATGCTGAAACGGAGGAGACCAGGATGACCGCCCCCCTCCTGAGAGACAGACAGACACAGGGGAGACAGGAAACCAATAACTTACCACGGACTTAGGTGCCACTATTATTTTTAAAAGATAAAAAATTATAATTATAACATTTAAATGATTATAGTCATTGAATAATGCGGTCCTCACAACAGCCATACAGTTCCTGTTATTATCCCCATTTCCCAGCTGAGCAAACAGGCTCAGCAGGGCTTAGCAACAGAGCCAATAAGTGGCAGAGCTGGGACTCCAACCCTATCTCTCTCTGACCCAATGTCTCTACTTTGAACCATTACACTCTTCTGCCTATCCCTGGGGTAGTGAAGAACAGACAGCCAGGTGCTTGGGAAAGGGGGCAGAGTGGCCTTGGTGACAGTGAATGCCTATCAATGGGCGGCCTCTGACAAGTAGATGGGGCGAGAAGAGACAAGAAATGAGTCAGGAGTTTTTCCTTCTATCCAAGACAGTCCCCAGGCCAGTTCCTGAAGGGTATGTCTGCATGGAGGACATACTGGAGGAGTAGCTACATGCTGAGGGAGGTGGTGGCCCAAGTCCCTAACCTCAGACCCCTGAGACTATGTGTGGAGTGCAGTCAGATATGCAAGACCTAGAACAGGTCCTGCCTAGAACAGCAGGCTCCCTGGAGGCTGAGAAGCAGGGAGTGAGGAGGGGCATGGGATGGACCTCTCCCTGCCGGGAGCAAAGGGGCAGACCCTGTCCCAGACTGTAAGCTGGTGAAAAGGCATTGTCCAGCTGCGAGAGAATCAGAGTAGGTGAGGGTGAAAATGACCTGCCCAAGGCTAAGGAGCTAAAAGCACAGCCCTTTCCCAAACTTGGTGATGTCAAGGCCAACGAGAGCATGCCTGAGCCCCTGGACATCACCCTCATCATACGGCCACTAGAATTAGAAGCCATAGCTGTACAAAAGGTGAGGCAGAACAGAGGGAGGGGGATGTGGAGGCCTCAGGGACACCTCTTTTGTCCTCCCCTCCCAGCTATGGCCCCATGTTCTCTAGACTCAATTCATGCCCTGGCTCCCCACCAGTCCCCACCCCCACCCTGCAACCTACCCCCTCTTCTCCATGTGGGGCAGCAGCTGGCTCAGCATCAGGGCCGGGGCCTTCACATTCACTTCCAGGATCTGAAGTCAGAGCAGAGGCATGGTGGAGGGCAGAGACACATAGTCAGCCCTCAGCCCAGGACCTGTTCTCATAAGACACATGGGGTCCTAGAATTTGTGCGGTAAACCCAGATATGTGCAGATCTGAGATCAGTTCCCCTTCTGATCAGGACAAGAGGTGCTTCCCACTTGCTAATGGTTTAACAGGCAGGCAGGCTAAGTGACAGGCCTGTGAACAGAGCCCTGAAAATGTGAATTGTTCAGGATTGGGGTGAAGGAAGGCAATGTTCAGGCCTTTTAAAGAAACTGGACTATGTTCTGGTTGTGCAGACAGAAGCTATAAGCAGAGGCCACTGGAAAAAGACTGAAAGTAGAACAGATGGAGGGAATGTAGGTGCTGGGAGCAAAGGAGATTTCTGGAAGAGTTGTCTTTGTCTGTGTTTTTACTTGTTTATGTCCTTGTCTTGTCCCAATAGAATTAAAGGCGTACTCACAATGCAACAGCATAAAACAAATCAAATAGGTATTATGTGTGAAGAAATGGAGAACAGTAAAAAATAAGTGTAGAAAAATAAGAAAAAGCAAGAGTAAGGTTGGTGCCCACAGTTCACAGCATGTGGTAAGGACTGAACATTAGTCTATTATTCGTTCACAAAAATGCAAGCTGTGAGGGCCTACATGCATGCCAGTTTATTGCAAACTTGGCTCCAAGCTTTCCTACGGCCACCAAAAAGAGGGAGACACAACAGAGAATTGCCATTCTGGGAGGTGGGTGCCCACGCTGGGACTGCCTGCAGCTAAAACCTGGATCTGGGCTCAGACTTAAGGGTCCCTGACCCTCTGTCTGGGAACTCTGTCTGGTGGCACTGGGGACAGAGGAAAAGTATGAGAGGAGCCGACAGGGAAAGATGCAGAAACTGGGCTGGGGGCTAGGCCAGAGTACCAGTTGGGACTAACATGGGAGCAGGATCCCTCCTGTGGGGCACCACCTCGAGTGAGGTCAGTGCATCTATGTCTCTAGGGAGTGAGGCTGCACATCTGCAATGCCTTCCCACGTTTTCATCCCACACCCAACCACCCCACTGGATGTGGGCAGGGGAAATGCTTCAATGGAGAGCTGCTGAGGCCAGTGTGATGACAAGTTGCCAGTGTTGGGGATGACCCCCAAGACTGTAAGAAGTGGCTCAGATGTCTAAAGGGGGGACCAGCATGAGATCCCCAATAAGAAGGAATTGAGGGTTAGACTAAGGGTATTCCTGGTCATTCTCTGTTCGAAACAGACCCCTGCCACCCCACCGATGTCTGCCCTAAGCTCCATGTATGTCGGGCTGGGTGATGGGCTCAGACAAGGCCACTCCTAGACTTGGCAACCAAACATGAGCCAAGGAAAAGTTACAGCCCCTCCCGGGCTGAAGAGGACTGCCCTCTTAGAAAATCGGGTAGAGTATCTCTGAGTGCCACGAAGTCCTGAGTATAGACTGTGGGCCTGAGAAGAATGGGTGCTGGAGAGTCCTCAGGCAGGAGAAGGGTGGAGGAGAGGCGGTGGAATGGGAGATGAGAGATTTCCCAACCAGCTGGAGAAAACGGGGGTCTGCCTGGGGAGGCGCTCAAACCGGCCCAGGGATAAGGTGAACAAGAAGGAACTCCCAGGACACCTGCTGAAAACCGCATGCAGATAGAGCAGCAGGTCAATGTCACACTCGTTTTGTAACCATTTCACCTCTGAGGTGGTGGCCGATGTGACTGGAGATGACTCCTGCCCAGTGGGGCAGACGGCTTGTGGACTAGCAAGACCTTGGAAAACAGGTAGCGGCAGAGAAAGTAAGGCTGGGCCGTGGGCAAGTGCGCTCGGCTTCAGGAGAGAAGATTTGAAACGGGTTCTGAGAAAAAGAGAGTCATGATCCCATGACCTAAGACACTATAAGGAAGTATGACTCAGGGGGGTTAGGAGATGGTCAGCCATGCAGTCCCAGCCACCTAATCACAAATGGTCGTTCGGCAGCATCAGGAATCTGAGGAGCCTGGGGAGGCTGCTAGCAGCGGCTGCAGGGAGCTCAGATTTCAGGCCATCTCTGAGGACGGAGGAAAGGGCAAGCCGCCAAGGGCAGATGCACAGGAGAGGTGGCTCGAGAACGATGTCTACAGAGCGCGGATTGCTGGATAAGGCAGAAGGGAATGCTCTGGCCAGTGCTTGGTAGGGAGGGGGGTGGTAACACGGTGATTTCATTGCAGTCCGTCTTGTCTGACAGACTCAGGAACCAAAGACAGGAGTGAATGGAACAGAAGTCATAGGATAACAAGGCCCAAAATGGACCTCAAGACATTTTGCAAGGCCTCTTCTGGACCCTGTGGCTCAGGTGGCAGGATCATTAGGTGGACGAGGTGGGTTGGAATGTCTGAGCTCATAGGAAGCCAGTGGCCAGGCCCAGGCCTGACAGGTGTAGCAGGTTCATCTGAGGGACAGTAAGGAAGCCTCATCTAGGAAGGGTGAAGAAAGAATCTCAGCGGCAGGTACAGGTCACCAAAAAGGAGCAAAATCACCAAAAAAAAAAAAAAGGAAAATATATCTGCTGTTGACAAAGAGCAGAGACCTTACTATTCTTGACTCTTACCAAAAGCAGAGACCTACCCCCACAGCTGTAAAGCTAGAGCCTGGAACCGTGCCTGGCACATAGCAAACCCTCAGTAAATATTTGCTAAATGAATAAATGCAAAAAGGATGGGAAGAGAAAAGATGGCAGAAAGAATGTAGGAAGCCACTTTAAAAACACACAAATTGGAAAGGAGCACCGCAGCACACTCCAGGGGACAAGTGGTCAGTGCCTGTTTTTACAGTAACTTTGGGAGGGGGGGCTCAACCGGGGAGCGCTTCAGACCCTCTGCCAGCTCCCCCCAGCGGCCTCTCACCTTGTCCCACACCTGCTCACTGGCCCCCAGGGTGCTTCCCACCAGCGGGTTGACACCTGCACTGCACACCAGGAAGTCGAGACCCCCACAGTGCTCCACAACCTGGGGGAAAGAGTGACATGAAGGGCATAAGTGTGGAGCTGGCCCGAGGAGGCCTCACCCGCCCGGCACTGCTGCCAGGTGCACAGGGCATTGAGACAACACTTGCTAATTAGATACTGTCTCAACCAGGAATGGTCACAAAGCCAGTGTGAGAACCAAACACTGGTGAAGGCAATGCCCTAGGTAGGCCCAAGGACGGGCTCTGCAGAGCTGAGGGCCTCAGGAGAGGAAGGTCTGTCTTCTCCAGGAATCCGTCTATATACCCGGGATGGGGAATCCCTTTAGATTCCTCCTCAACCACAGTTCTCCAGGTGGGGGTGGGGGTGAGGGTCCTTTCACGAACGAGTCACTTTCCAGAAAGCCAGCGTGAACAATGAGGTCTACCCGCTTAGACCATGAACAATCCTGGTTTCAAGACTGTTGCAGGGCCTCCCAACCCCGATCCGGGTGTCTGCCCCACCCAGGGCTGAGCAAAGTGGGAAAGGCTCTGTGCACTCTCCTCCCTATGTCCTTCCACCCCTGTGGCCCCTCACCGTGGCCACCAGTCGCTCCCGGTCCTCGGCCTTCCCCACGTGGCACACGGTGCCCACCACACTCAGCCCCTCCCCCTGCAGCGCCGCCACTGCCCGGTCTACGTTCTGCTGCTTCCGGCTGCTGACCACCACATGGGCCCCGTCCCGGGCCAGGCGCCTGGCAATGGCAAAGCCGATCCTGTGGCAGAAATGGAGGGAACAAGACAGCCTCAGCCTCTTGCCACCGTGGTCCCTCGACCCACAGAAACCAATAAGGCTGTGTCCTAATCTACAACCCTGAGGTCTCTCTGTGGAAGCGAAAATCCTTGTGAGGGGTCAAGACCCATAGGGCAGTCAGGGCACTTACCCATCAGTGGACCCCGTGACCACGGCCACCCGATTGGCCAGGATGCCCTTTTGGCCTATCCCCCTGCTGATCATGCACACAGAGAGTCCAGCACAGGAACGGAACAAGCCTCTGTGGATGCAGGCCACTGTTGGGAGCATGGAGGCCAGTTCCTGTCTCTGCTTCCTGATGAACTTGGCCCTGGAGGAGAGAATCAACTTCAACTATCACTGATGCCATTAGTGAGCGTGATGGCAATCTACCTCCAGCTCCTTCAGACAGACAAGGCCAGCAGCAGAGAGCCAGAGAGAGTCGAGCTAGTCAGGGTGAATTTCAAACACGTGAGCCTCAGGTCAGGCAAACTCTGTGAAAATTCTCTATTTATAAAACAGGCAAATTAGAGTGTGAGACCCACCATTCAGCAGACAGGGTTATCTTCCCATTCATTCCACGACCAAGCACTGAGCACTTGCAACATGCCAGAGAAAGTAGACCAAGGTTCTGAGCGCCTGCATAACGTCCTCACCAGGCTGTGCTGAAGTGAAGCTAATTGCATGTGAGGAGCCTGAGACAGACAAGGCAGCCCCACACCAGGCTGCAGGGTGCAGACCCATGCCCTCAGGACACCCTCAGGAAGGAAAGGGGTAGGCTTTCGCAAGTGTGGGTAGGGGTAGGTCTGCACAAGTGTGAAGGCAGGGTGAGGACCTGGCGTGGGAGACTCACATATGCAGACACTGTCTATGAACTGGAAATACAGGAGAGATGCTTGTGTAGGGGATCCTCTTTCGCCAAGACCCCAAATTTCCCAGCTCCACATCAATGTGAGCCCAGAGGCTCCTGCCTCCCCCCAGTGTGAGATTCCCATTTGCCTGCCCAGGAGCCTTGTGGGGTCCCGAATCTAGGAGTGTGATCTGTTTCCTGCGGAGGCGGGAGGGAAGGAATGGTTAGAGAAAAGGGTCACTGAGGATACACAGCGACTCGGGATGTACTTTTCATGTAAGATAGTGCCAGGAAGCTGAAGAGATGCAGTTTCTGGCAGCTTGGACTGCAGGGGCCATCAGACACGCACTTTCAGGAGATTCTGGTGTGGGCTGACCGTCTGCAGACCCTCATCTGTTCCAGACCTGCCTTGGCCACTCTAACACCAAGGGACTCCTTGTTACTAAGCAACCCCTGCCATACCTACTGCATCTCCCTTGTTTCTTAGCAACCAACCTTTACATAACCCAGTTCCCTCCAGTTAGGGGTCCTTATCTATAATAACAAATGAATGGGTGCTGCTCAGGAATTAGGGAGAAATTTCAGATTAAATATCAGTCTGTATCAGTGCCATAATGAAGGTAACCAAATGCTCTGCTTTAAGAGAGACAGCCTTGGTTTCAAATTTATGTCTCTTCCGATACCGTATTTCCAAAGACACCCTTTGCAGGTCCTTGACCTCCTCTCCTTTTTGTCCTGGCTGCTGTCATTCTCTTCTCTCTCACATGCTCTCTTTTCTGCAAGGTCATACCTATAGCCTTTCCATTCCAGAGGATGAGGGGTTTCAGCTTCTGATTATTCTACTTTTCCTAAACAGGACACCAGATTCTAAACACTGTTATGACCCCTGGGGGCCTTCTCTACCCCCAGCTGTGAGCACAGATTAACCCCACCAAGTGTCAAGGGAATTGGTCTCCTTGGCTGGGAGGGCAGCAGGAAAAAGAGGGACTCGAATTTTGTCAGGACAGGCCGCCCCCTGCTGGAAGACCAGAGTTATGGCACATCTGAGATGCTGTTCCCATACCAGCAAGTCCGTGGCTGTCCCCTCTGTTCTACAACAGTCCTTACCAAGCCCTGCTCCTTTATAAACTTGCCACGAGATGGTTTGCAGGAAAGCTTCCCTGCTTGTAGGGAAAAGCAGCTGTGGCCTATTGCAGGTAGAGCATGGAGAAACTGATCAGGCCCCATCTGTCTGTCTTGGTTCCCCTTCCCATTCCAGGTCCTTCTTTCCCTGAGACTGAGCAGCTTCCAAGGGTCCAGGCTCCCACTCACTCTGCCCTCATCCCCACTTCTGCTTTCCTCTGGAGCAGTCAGTTGGGCCAGCTAGGCCAGAGTCAACCACAGGTCCTGGGAGCTTAGAGTGGTCTCTGAGCCTGGCACTGCCCACTCTGATGCCCCTTACCATGCTGATCAGTTCAGTTGCCCAGAAGTGGAGGTGGGGAAGCCAAGTGGACACACCCTCAACTTAGTCCCATCTTGGAGATGGATGGCCCTCACCAAAGAGAAAAGGAAAGGGAAAAGCAAAGAAAAGATTAGGGGAGAGCTAGTAGTTAGAAACACTGACAATCAGGGAAGAAAGAGATGAGGGAGATTTCAACAGAAGGTGCATGATTTGGGCAAGTCTGTTCCCCACTCTGGCTCCATCTGCACCTGGGTAAGATGAGGTGCTGAGTTGGGTGGCCCTAAGGGCTCTGATAGCCCCCAAGAGCTTTATTATGAGAATCAAAGAAGAAATAAAGACAGCTGCAGACAGAGCCAGGGAGAAGGAAGCATCAGCACAAAAAATAAAAAAAGGGTGAAGGTGGGCAGTAGTGGTGACAGGGACCCCAGCCCAGCCAGCCTTACATTGGGCCACATTGTCCCTGCTCTGGTCTTACCTGGCGATGCTCTCGTCGTCGTTCCTGAGTGCAGGTCAGGAGCCCTTCTGCTGTGGAGCCTGCAGCTGACTGAGTGTGAAGATGTGAGGAAACAAGAGGCTGAGTTTCAGGCACTGTTACTCCATCTGAAAAACTCAAGGGTTCTTGGAATCTACCTTCCTAGAATTATGAAAGGCGGTGATGAGAAAAGTCCTCCCCCACAGCTGGCGAGGAAGCTCCTCGGGGGTGGCTTGGGGGAAAATGCAGGACTTGAATGCCCCTCACGCCATTCACCAGGAAGCCAGTCCTATCAGTCCACCTGTCCCCAGACACTCACACAATAGAAGCAGACAGACCCCAACCTGTGGGGCCTACAGGCTTAGCTGGCTGGGGAGGCAGCACTGGGTACAAAGCCACGAAGATATTTCTACAAGCACAGAGAAGAGACTGCAGGCCTCAGCCCCAAAGCCAGATCAGGGGATCAGGCCCCAGGCACTATACAGGACAGATGGCTGTAGAGTTCTAGATGTAATTTTGTATTCAGGTGTCCACCCACCACCCCAGGCTGTCACCTAGGCCCAAATATTTGAATGAGCACCTACTTCCTGCCAGGCACTGCATTAAGTACTGTGAACACCAAAATAATGAAGGAACAGTCCACCTTGAGAAGCTTACAGTCTAATGGAGAAGTTAAACAAATGTAGTGCAGAGTGCTACATGCTAAAATAGAAGTAGGTTGGGAATGCAAACTGGTGTAGCCACTCTGGAAAACAGTATGGAGTTTCCTCAAAAAGTTAAAAATAGAACTACCCTATAACCCAGTAATTGCACTACTAGGTATTTATCCAAGGGATACAGGTGTGCTGTTTTTTGTTTTTTTTTTCCAACATTTATTTATTTTTGGGACAGAGAGAGACAGAGCATGAACGGGGGAGGGGCAGAGAGAGAGGGAGACACAGAATCGGAAACAGGTGTGCTGTTTTAAAGGGGCACATGCACCCCCATGTTTATAGCAGCACTATCAACAATAGTCAAAGTTTGGAAAGAGCCCAACTGTCCATCGACAGATGAATGGATAAAGAAGATGTGGTATATATATACAATGGAGTATTACCCAGCAATCAAAAAGAATGAAATCTTGCCATTTGCAACTACGTGGCTGGAACTAGAGGGTATTATGCTAAGCAAAATTCGTCAGAAAAAGACAAATATCATACGACTTCACTCACGTGAGGAATTTAAGAAACAAAATAGATGAATATAAGGGAAGGGAAGCAAAAATAATATAAAAACAAGGAGGGGACAAAACATAAGAGACTTTTTTTTTTTTAATGTTTATTTATTTTTGAGAGACAGAGAGAGACAGCATGAGCAGGGGAGGGGTAGAGAGAGAGGGAGACATAGAACATGAAGCAGGCTCCAGGCTCTGAGCTGTCAGCACAGAGCCCAACACGGGGCTTAAACTCACGAGCCGTAAGATCATGACCTGAGCCGAAGACGGATGCTTACCCAACTGAGCCACCCAGGCACTCCAAGACACTCTTAAATACAGAGAACAAACTGAGGGTTGCTGGAGGGGTTGTGGGTAGGGGGGATGGGCTAAATGGGCAAGGGGCATTAAGGAGGGCACTTGCTGGGATGGGCACTGGGTGTTATACATAGGGAATGAATCACTGGAATCTACTCCTGAAATCATTATTGCACTATATGCTAACTAACTTGGATGTAATTTAAAAAAATAAACACAGGGGCCTCTGGCTGGCTCAGTCGGTTAAGCACCCGACTTTAGCTCAGGTCATGATCTCATGGTTTGTGGGTTTGAGCCCCACGTTGGGCTCTGTGCTGACAGCTCAGAGCCTGGAGCCTGCTTCGGATTCTGTAACTCCCTCTCTTTGCCCCTCCCCTGCTCACACTCTGTCTCTCTCTGTCTCTCAAAAAGTAAAAAATAAAACATTAAAAATTTTAAAAATAGACACATCGTAACATTAAATGTAGAAGCAACTATGAGATTCCAGCTGTTTTCTATTAAACCAGACATCAAAGATATTTTTTCGATGTACAACAATGCCACTCTTCTCATTAATTTTTCTTATTTTATTTTCATATTTTCATATTTTAGAAAATATAGCCATTTTTCATTTAAAATAATGTTTATGCAGGAATGTTAACTGATACAGCCACCATGGAAAACAGCATGGAAGTTCCTCAAGAAATTAAAAATAGAAGTACCACATGATCCAGCACTCCCACATCTGGATAAATATCCAAAGGAAATAAAACCATTATCTTGAAGAGATGCCTATACTTCTGTGTTCATCGCAGTATATGATCACTATAGTCAAGGGATGGAAACAACCTAAGTGTCTATCTGTGGATGAATGGGGCAATACACATGATATTTCAGCCTTAAAAATGAAGGAAATATTGTCATTTGCAACAACATGAAATGAAATAAGCCAGACAGAAAGACAAATGCTAAATGGTAGCACTTATATGTGGAACCTAAAAAAAAAGCCAAACTCAAAGAAACAGAGAGTAAAAAAGTGGTTTCCAGCGGCTGGGATGGGGGAAATAGAGAGAAGTTGCTAAAAAGGTATCGCTTTCAGTTATAAGATGAGTAAGTTTTGAGGATCTAAGATACAACATGATGACTATAGCTGATAACACTGTATTGTATAATTGAAATCTACTAAAAGAGTAGAACCTAAATATTCTCACACACAAAAAAAGAAAACTATGTGAAGTGATAGGTGTGTTAATTAACTCGATGGGACAAGCCCTCTCATAATGTATACATAACTCTCATAGTGTATACATGTATCAAATCACCATGCTGCACACCTTAAATATCGTACAATTTTATTTGTCAATTATACCTCAGTAAAGCTGGAAAATGTTATTTATGTGACCATACAATGGGTTTATTATTATTATTATTATTTTAATGTGTATTTATTTTTGAGAGAGACAGAGACAGAGTGTGAGGAGGGGAGGGGCAGAGAGAAAGGCAGACAGAATCCGGAGCAGCCTCCAGGCTCTGAGCAAGCTGTCAGCACAGAGCCTGACACAGGGCTTGAACTCACAAACTGCGAGATCATGACCTGAGCCAAAGTCGGACGCTTAACCAACTGAGCCACCCAGGTGCCCCTTGGTTTATTGTTTTTATTTTATTTTTTTTTTTTAATTTTTTTTTTCAACGTTTATTTATTTTTGGGACAGAGAGAGACAGAGCATGAATGGGGGAGGGGCAGAGAGAGAGAGGGAGACACAGAATCGGAAACAGGCTCCAGGCTCTGAGCCATCAGCCCAGAGCCCGACGCGGGGCTCGAACTCACGGACCGCGAGATCGTGACCTGGGTGAAGTCGGACGCTTAACCGACTGCGCCACCCAGGCGCCCCGGTTTATTGTTTTTAATAAATAATACATATTTTTAAATTTCTTAGTTTTAATTTCTATTATAGTAAATGTTGACAGATATAACTCACATAAACAAAAGCTCTTCAGAGTCCTCAATAATTTTTAAGACCATAGGGGATCTGGGGTGCCTGGCTGACTCAGTCGGTTGAGCTTCTCACTTGATTTCAGCTCAGGTCATGACCTCCAGATCATGGGATCAAACCTCATGTTGGGCTCAATGCTGACCTTGGAGCTTGCTTAAGATTCTCTCTCTCTCTGTCTCTCTCTCTCCCTCTGCCCCCCTCCCCTGCTCTCACCCTTTCTCAAATAAATACATACATACATACATACATACATACATACATACATACATACATAAATAAAACTTAAAAAAAAAAAGAAAAAGAAAAGAACATGTAGGGACCCTGAGACAGAAAAGTTTGAGAATGCTGCTTACCCTAGTTTATATAACTATTCCCCTATTGATGGGCATTTTGTTTATTCCCTTATTTTCCTACAAGCAATTCTGTAATAAGCATCTTTGTACATATCTCTTTGTATACAATACAAGAAAATCTTTTTAATCAAGAAAAGCATTCTAAATCAAAGTAATTAGTGGTTATCATAGGTCTTTCTGATTCGTGGGTAAGAGTGAAAGGCCAGGGTAACAGTGCCCTTTGGATGGTGGATGTGGATAAATCAGGAACTCCCTGGGATTGTCACCATCAATAGAAAGCATGGTCAGAAAGGCTATGCTGGACCCACTCCGACAAGGCTTGCAGAATCAGACGCAGTGATGTTGGCAAAGGGAAACAGAACACACTGCTGATAAAATGAACATGTTCACACTCTTAGCACATCGATTTCTTGCAAATGGAGGTGAAGATGTCATCTAGGACTACTGCAGTGAGTTCGTCAGGTAATATCTGCGAAGTGCCAAGCAGCATGCTTGCAGGCATCCCAGGCATTGATCAGGTGGCAATTCCCTTTCCCCTGCTTTCCCCTTCATTGTGTGGCCTGCCTCAATACTTTGGGACACCTAATGCTGGAGCACAGAGAAGGCCCAGTCCCCAACTCCCTGCAGGGGAGTAGCAATGACAGGAAGATGCAGTCTCTTGCCTTACAAAAGATCTGACAAGAGAATCTGGTGCCATTACCCCAAACTTCCTGAGGCCTATTTGGGGGGTCTCCATTTTCACTCAGGTTTTATCCTATTTGCCAGCCTGTACCCGCCTGAAACTTCCTGAAGCCATGCCCCCGCCAGCCTTCCCACCCTGTCTCTCAGATCTGAGAGGTCCACTCTGCCACCTGAGGGGCAGAGGAGTAAGGCCCCTTGACAAGAACTCTCCACAGATCCTGACCACCCAGGTCCTGTACAAGGGAAATTACTCAGAGAACAGGCTCCCCACACATCTACCCGTTCCTACCAACCCCCACAGGCAAGAAGGTCCAACTTCCTCCTCTAGGAGACTCTACCCTAACTGAAGGTCTATCAAAGCCTATTTACCCCAGGACCTTTCCCAGTTGAATACAGGCCAGGCTCCTGGAGATTACAGGTCACTAGGGAAATGACTGAGGACATGTCCTAAATACCAAAGACCTTTAGGAGATTTTATCTCCACCCTCCTTTTTCCTGAGGATATAATCTCCCTGTTAATTCTAGGTATTGACTCAACAAATTGTTGCTGAGTCATAAATTATTCTCTAGGAATCAGTGAAGTGTTTAATTTACAATGTAATATATGGAATGTCCTGGGACTCTGCTCACCCTTGGTGCTCCCCACCCCTCCTGGGTTCCCAGCTCCAGGTACATCTAATAAGTCAGCCTCCTCCAAAATCTCATATATACACAAAAGTTCACTGAAAATGGAGCACAGATTTAAAGGTAAAACATAAAACTATAAAACTTTTAGAAGAAAACATAGAAGAATCTTCCTTAGCCTGTTAATACAGTAAATTACATGGGTTTTATTTTGAATATTGAAAGAACCCTTGCATCCCTGGTTGGTTATGATGTATAATAATTTTTATATATTGCTGAATTCTATTTGGTAATATTTGGTTAAGGGTTTTTGTGTGTATATTCAGGGATATTGGGCTGTAGTTTTCTTTTTCCTTTTTTTAATATTGTCTTTTTCTGATTTTAGTATCAGGATCATACTAGCTTCA